CCAGACCCCCCCCGATAAGTTACAACTCCCCTCATAGACCAAGAGGCACGCACTGCGTTGGCGCGTTTTGTCTGCCATCTGTGGGGATTTTCTTTCTGCTTGTCCCGCCATGCACCGTCGCTCATGCCCTTGCGGATGCGCTGTGTCTGAGCCCGCTTGGCACTGCGAGCGCTCGGGTTGGGCGCCTCGCCGCATTCGTTGTTGTCGAGGTGATTAGGCGATAGCTTGCGCTGATGCTGATTACACCCGCCATGGAGGGCAGGGGTAATGGCGCCCGTGTCATCGGTCGCCGCTGGCAGCAACACCATTGCCGATGCATTACCGACAACAGCACCGCCGTCCCAAACGCCTTTATCAGGAAAAATTTCAGGCTTATCTTGCTGTTTTGGTGTTTGTTCGGCGTTCAAGTCGTTGCCTTTTGCGTGTTTGGCTATGTAAGGACGGTCATACATTCTGCTATGCCGCGTTGACTCACGGGCTTGACCTTCTTACGGCCCCTCATATCTATTCTATGATCGATAATACTAAGTTCTGCACACTACGGAGCAATCTGGCAGCAATGGACGTTTTTGGCTGGAGGAATGAAAATGTACGGATCGGCCTCAATTTGTTCCTTAATTCCAAAGGCCAAAATGGCCTCTTTATTCCTTAAAAGGCAATATATTACTTAAAAAAAACACTGGTCCTGGTGATGACACCGATCACCGGGACATCACACAACTACTTACAGCTGCTCACTCCAATAGTTCGGCGGTCTGCATTCACAACCAGGAGCTCTGTTTTGCTGTTCCTAACCCCGCCCGCCCTACTAGTCCCACCCGGTCCAGGTTGCGGCAGCAGTGCATCGGACAGATAACAGACCACAGGGCGCAATAGCGGGGAGCAGCAGGCTGTGGCCACCGGCGCCTCTCGGTCACCGCGCGGTGTTCAGACCCCCTCGTGCAGCGCTCTGTTGCGTGTTTACGTGTCTACTGCAGCAGCAGTTGCCGCTGGGAGGTCGGCTTTACCACCACAGGCGCATCCTTAAGTTCCAGTACACGGAAAATGTCTGAACTACCGTCAACAGGTGGCGCTAGATGCTACGTGCTGCGTGCGTGCCGCATGTACAGCCGCCTCGTGGGTTGCGCCTGTTGACTGTTGACTGCGTCTTCGGGCACCTGGCTGCTGCTCTATCGTGTGCTTGCCGCGGTCGCTGCATGACTGCTTGCCCTGTTGTTTTTCGATTCCCAGAGCAGCTAAGTCCCGGTCCCAGCCAGGGTGCCGTCTTGCCGTTTCCCAGTTTTGCGCCAGCAAAAATGGCCTTGTTACATTATACGGCAAGTCGACTGAGCCGACTATAGTTCAGAGCTGCTGGCAGTGCGGTACCTCTCAGTATAAAGATGCGAGTTCGGAGTGATGTCACGATTCGGACATGGATGGGGCGGTCATACATGCATGCGTCGGTCAATCATACATGCATTTGCATTGAGCGAGGGGCCGCTGATTAATTAGGCCAGTTGCAGAGGACCAGACGAGCTGCAACCGCTCTGATTGGGCTTCGAAACCGTGTGCGGGCTTAGTGGCGACAACGTGCGCCGGTGAGCCAAGCGAGCAGTACCGCCCACCACACACAGACCGCCACCCGCCACTAGCGAGGCGCATCCACGAAGGATTTAGCGCAATGTACGGCACCAGCAGCGGCGGCCGCATCTCCGAAACCGGCTACAGTTGTCCTGTCCACAGGCAACACTACAGGACGGCCGGAGGTATCCGCATTGCCTGGTTTGTGGGTCTCATGTGCAGGATGTGATGGACGATAAAGGGATTATTCGCATGGAGGTTTCATGAGGCTTTGAAGACGGTGTAACCAACTATAGTAATGTTGCGGACCTAGTGAAACAGCGCAAACTAGCGTAGCGTTGTGGGGATGAGAATGTTGGTGGGAGGAGTCTGCGTGTGTTAAAGCACGTATGCTTGTAAGGAGGGGCCGGATAATAGAATACGATGTACGGCGCTGCAGGTGCTACCGCCGCTATTTCCCTGCAATGGTGGCAAGTCTGCCTCCTTCCCGAATAGTACCAACTGGGCTCGGTAATCGGCCTTTTCTTTACATTTCGTAGTTAGACAGAAAGTTCAATGTGGGATTGTTATGTGGTGTGAAGTTTGGTCGGATCTATCGTTCAATGGACCCACCATCGTTTTGCCCTCCGGTAACAGGTCAAGGGTCTCTATCCCTCATGGACATGACCGTACTTGAACAGGATCTGTTCTATAGGTCATACACCTGTCTGTGTTCTTTAACTCAGACAAGCTCCTCAACCCAGACGAAGAGACGGAGTCCCTGCACCTGAGCGCAACGTAAGGCCGCAGTGGCCGTGCCGCTGGCACGGACGCGCGGCTCTGGATGAACGTCCCTCCGAGCCTCATTCCGCCGGTAGGGATGGTGCCTGGGACATTCAGATGGGTTCGATTGAACTTCTATTTTGAAATACATCGAAAGATTTGCTATACGCTTAAAATGTTATTGTGACTGTTCTTGCTTTTGCATTCCTTAAAAGGATAGTGGTCGATAATTTATCCCGCACCACACTCGATTTATTACGCCTTCGCTTTCAATGCTTGTTGCTCTCGGTGCCTAAACCGCCAAAAGCCCGTGTCTCCCGTGTCTCAACTAACAGCATTTGTCCAGATACACTGCGGATGGAGAGCCGTCCCAACCCATATGCTCATAGTTACATAGTTACGAAAGCCATGGGCGCCGGGATAAGGACTGATAAGACATGACAGGATGGTGGAGGGAAAGGGGTGTCTGGACGAACCCCCTGTACTGCAAATTACAATGAAGTTGCGCAAACACCCTTTCTAACCTTGAACATTTAAGTAGCATAGTCTGTCCTCCGAAAGGTACGTTGCCAGCCGTGTTCTCACAAGGCAGGCAAAGCCATAAGTCGGTGTTTGTCGAATATACTGATGTCTAACAATCAGAGCCAAATTGAGCTGGACGTTCTGTCACCACCGCCCGTTCCATCCCAGTCCTTACCGATATGGTCAGGGTCAAACATTAATCAGCCATGATTGTGGTGATAGCCTGTCAAAGTATTCCTTGGGGTTTTACGCCTCCCTACGTTTCGACGAGCATGCGCGGTCCAAGAGCATGTGCACCATTGCGCGGTCCAAGAGGGGACCTTAACAACGAATCTGAAGTTATAAAAATATAGTCTTTCAGTGGTGCTGGAGTAGATGGGACGTAGATCGGCCCCATGTATATAATAAGCATAATTAATAATGTTTTGGATCGAAAAAATCCAGATCGTGCCATGTAAGGCAGAGACCGTTCCTGTCTATTTGGATAATGCACCGTGTATAGATAAAGAATTCTACAGACGCATCAGGGTAACCATGGGCCATCGGGACTAGGGCAAGGAATAAGCGGCGACCAACGGCCATCGTATAGTTGCCCCGATTACGGTCACCTACAACGTTTCGGAATCATTAAAATGTTGACCAAAGGCATGTAAACATATCCACAGCTTAAACCTCACTGCTTTAATGACTGCCAGCCACGTGTTCTGTCCATTTCCCAATCTCGATGACCTTGCCAGTGGAAGCGCCCCAGCAAGGTTTTGGACTCTTGGTTCCCTGGAAGTAACTTCCGTAGATGCTGCTGCTGAAGGCATATTTACCTGGCTAAAGAGGACACCTTCAATTGTGCAACTAACACCGCAGCAGACCTGGTTGAGCGCCTTTCCCGTCGCCGCGTTTTACCGTGTGTGGCGTGCATTGCGTGACTTTCCAGGAGACCATGAACTGGTGTCCATCTCATCAGAAGGTCTACGGCAGCTTCGCAAACGCCTTGCCGTGACAGCCCAACATACTGAATTACTCCAAGTTCGATCTGATCCAGCTCCGCTAACAGGTTTGCAGCAGCAAAAGCCACGACAAAATCAGGAGGAAGGTCAACCTCAACATCAGGAGTATGACCCAATTAAGACCTACAACGGCGACGCGCTGCCTGGTGACAACAATGCAGCCTTTGACAGCAGCAGCCCCCGCATGCGGGGTTGTCTCAGCGAAGAGCAGCAGGGCCACGAGCACTTCATGCGCAGTCAGCTTCAAGAGGGCACGAAGATCGTTTGCTTTTTCGCGGCGCAGCTACTAATCCTGGTAGGGCGCCATGCAGATGTCATATTGTCAGAAGATCGGATCCATCTCATCGGATACCTTGCCTAATAATACTTTCACGGATTCCTATAATAATAAGAGGCATCTGCAGCGGATGAATATTATATTGGCCGCATTCCTTGGCAGCATACATGCCATTTGTCAGTCAAGGCCCGGGCGCGCAGCTTGCAACAGCATGGGAGGCCCTCCCACCCAGAAAAAAATGTTTATTGCGGCAGTGTATTGCGGCAACAATAATACAAATGATGAAGGCCTCGCGGTCCTCGACGGCCGCGGCCTGGAACAAAACCAACCGCGCGCACGCATGTGTTCATCCCCCGAATAATAAATAATATTGGAATGATACCGGAATGAATACTGGCACACAACGCCTTGTGGGTCACCGTTAATCATAGGAATGCGCTGACCCACATCGCCCAAGTGACTAGCAGACTAGGACAACAATGTAATTTTTGCCGCTATCCGGATGAATGTGGGTCAGCTGGATCCTCATCCGCCTCATCCTTAGCTTATTCTTGATGGCCCTGATACCCCTTCTGAGCACCTGACCCACGCACATACATGCATAGACATACATGTATGATGTGTGGGATAGGGGGGCATATCTTCACCCGTGGCCGCTACCTGGCGAAACCCTGCCTTCCCCGCGGGTATTTCGGGGCACCCTCATCCAGTCACCCTAATCAACTTCTCAGTGGATCGCTTAGGTTCCGCACCCACCATCAGCATCCAACGGAATCTGCCGGATCGACGGCGGCGCAATTCCATTCCTGGACGTCTCGCGAGTTTATTTCATCCGATTCACCACTGTCCATCGACTAGGGACACTTTTACCTTCCACCATCGGAAGGATTTTCGACCCTTACAGGTCTCGATCCCGGGATCTCGGGGGGGCAATGGTCCGTGCCTTACCAGTAGTGCCTAAAAATGTATGCATATAGACATCACTTATGCACGTTTGCGTATGCACATATCTAGACATGTGTAGACGTGCATGCATGCATGCAGGCGGGCACCTCCGCACCGGCAGCCAACGCCAACGCACAATCAGCAAACCCTGGCGCCACCGCGGCAGCCGCTGCCGGCGAACCCCCCACTGGACGTCCTGCGGGTGGCGCGGCCGCTCCGGCGCGTGGCCGCTGCAGGCGGGGTCAGGCAGCCGGCGGCGGCGGCTGCGGCAACGCTGCTGCTGGCATAGGGGCCCCGGGAAAGGGCGGCAAGCTGGTGCGTCCCGTGGATCCCGGCAGCAGCGAGGCATGGGCGGAGGCTCTTCGGCAGGCAGCTGGCTGTCTGGACGATGTGGGGCAGCTGGTGTGGGTGGGGGGGCTGTGTTTCGAGTCAGCTGTGGAGGCCAGGGCCGTTACGCAGGTGCGAGGGGTTGCAGGTAAAAGAGACCGGTGGGTGGAGGGCTCGAAGCGTGACGGGATATGAAGGGCGAGCAAAACCCATTCCACACCGAACCATGTTCCATTGACGACGACTGAACCACCCCGACGGCGACCTGGCACCGTGTATATGCCGCCCGTTACACCTTCGGAGAGTAACTCAACTCGCATGTGTAACATTTGCCGTCAATGGAACATGATTCAGTGGGATGCGACTGCGATGAATCGGTCATCGACGGGTTGGGGAGCTGGCTAAGTAGCGGCAGAAAACAACAGATGGCGCAGCAGTGGAAGAGATGGGTTATGGGATGCGGGATATGTGTGGGTAAAGTGTAACAGTTCTAGGTGTACCATGCCTATCTGACCCTTACGTGGCCTTGACACCTGCCCCCACAACCCCCTGCCGTGCACCCACATCTTCCCCGCAATGCCCACCCTCGTGCATGGAAACCCCCCCCCCGTCCTTACGACGTCCTTACGCCAAGCCATCCTGCTTTGCCGGCCTTGTACGCCTGTTTGTCCTTTGGTTTGCAGCTGCTGGTCAACTCGCTGCAGCTCTGGGCTCCCCGCTTGTTGTCGAAGCCCCCAGCGGCACTGCGGGGGCCGTACTCCGCCTTCAGGCAACCCTTGGCGGGTGCGGATGAGACGGGAACGGGGGGGGGAGGGGAAAGACGAACCACGAACGAGTGAAGCTGCTGCCAAGGAAAGAGTGTACAAGAACGGGAAGGGGGGAGGGAGGAAAACGGGTGATGTACATGCGTGAAAGAACTGCACTAGGAAGGAAATTGGAGAGATGGCGCACGGGGGTTCGCGTCGTTGCGTCGTTGCAGGCAAGGGGTAGAGACACGATCACATCGCACGTGAGGCCCCGGGAGGCCGTAGTCAGGCCACACCACCGCGGGGCTGCACCCCGAGGCGGTACGTGGGCGCATTAGGGCTCCAAGCTCGCCATGCCAATGCACCTCTGCCCTAATGCAATTTCTGGTTGGCGACCCAATTCCATGTGCCGCTGCATTATATACCGCTACCCCCGGGCTCACTGGCCGTACGGCACGCAGGGCTGGTGTGTAGCTTGGCGTGGCAGCACTGCGGTGCTGCAGCAGCACTCGCCCATCACCGCCAGCTGGGGCAAGAAGGACAGGATCCGCAAGACCCCGCCACCGTGGGCTCTGTCGTACGCCGTACATGGGAGGCGTCTGCGGGTGGAGGAGTCCACTGCCGCTACAGCCTGCAACAGCTACTTCTCGAGCTTGTCGCAGCGGCCAAGGCGCCTAACAGCGCAGCAGCGGTGTCCGGCGGGCTACAGGGGGGCCCCCGCAGCGCCGCGGCGGGGCCCGGCGGCTCCGTAGCGAACTTAATTGCGGCATTATCAGAGGCTCTGGTCCTGGCTTTTGAGCGCGACCCGAGCGGGGGGGAAGCCGGCTCCAGGGTGCTAATGTGCACCTTGATGGCGGTCCCAGAGACTGCTACCGCCGAAGTTGTCGCAGCTGGCGACGGCAAGCCTGGCGTTGGCGTCGGCCGTGGTGGCGGGGGCGGGGGCGGGGGCGGGGGCGGCGGTGGACGTGGGAAGCGTCTGCGGAGTGAGAGGTGGGGGCCATGCTGCGGCGGCACGCGTGAGGCTGACGGCGGCGGTGCGGAGCGCCTTCAGCTGTTGTGGGAGGTCATCGCTCAGGCCGCGTGTGGGGCTTGCATGCAGCTCGATTCGACGTTGTTGGCTGCTGCGGTGCTGCAGGTACGCCTGCACCGCGCGTGTATGCCTACCTTACCTGTGCTAGCGCTACAGCTCAGTTCCTCATGCGTATCGTACGTATGTGCCGCACCTAATGCCAACGGCCCGTACGGGTTGCAACAGCCGCAACCTAGGTAGCCCGCACACTCGCGCCTCCAAATCCCAAACTGATATTCATCGGCGTCCCTGCGGCTCGGCTATCCCGCCGACCCATGGGTCCAATCCCCGTACCCCCGTGGGTCTTTCCCATCCACCCCATGGGTCCCCGCAGGTACTGGCTCCAAGCTTCCCGTCCGCCTCCGCAGCCAGCCGTAAGGCCCTTCTGGACTTGGCGGCCGCTGCGGTCTCCGTTGATGACCCGGGCCCCCCCACAGCTGGTATCCCGACCAGGGTGGCGGGCCACCAGGCAGGAGCTGCAGGGGCCGGTGGAAGCGGAGGGGGGGGCCAGCAGAACGGGAGCGGTGCGGGGGCAGCGGCAGTGATTGGCGTATCCGTGCTGGCTCAGGGTGGGTCCCTCAGCCCAGGCAGGGAGCACATGGGCTGGGAGTGGTGCCTGTACGGGCAGCTGCTGCCCGTTCACCATCATGGCCGTACACATAAGACCCAGACCGCCATCTGGGGGTTCTACTGCCGTGCATGCGAAGCAGCCTATTCGCATGGTGGCGCATGCAAGCATGCACGGTGCGTGCTTAGGTGGTGGTATGTTGGCGAATGGTGGTGGGTTCACCCAGCAGCCGGTGGCGCTAGCCGGCCCGCAATGCCTGAAGGTCTGTGCTGCGCCTATCTAACTCCTGGTACCTGCCCAGTTTGCATCACGACCCGACTCACCGTCGTTCCCTGCATGGCTCCCTGCCGCATCTTAGGATGCTGCGATACGGACGCGACCGTCAGGTGCCGTTGCCTGGGGCTAATCTCGTCCTGCCTGAGGAGCCTATCCCAGATTGCGGAGGACGAGGGGCAGCAGCTGGAGGTGGACGCGGAGGCGGACAGAGGGCAAAGGGCAGGGACGGCTGCGACGGCGGCACCGGTGCGAGAGCAGAACAGCGCCGCAGGGCGCGAACTGGTCGAGGTCGGCAAGGTTGGGAAGAACGCGCCCATAGGCGCTCTCTGTGGGCTGCTTCTTCCAGCTCTCAAGGCCAGGTGGGGGACGATTGCGGAGAGGCTAGGTGGTGGGGTAACCGCATCCCCCCTGCTCTCCCGAGCCGCACTGGACTGTGGGCAAGGTGCTCAGAGCTGGGGTGGGGCAGCACCAGCCTTAGCTGATGCATCGCAGTGTGGGTGGCAGGTGCTCGCGGCCTCTGTTAGGCAGCGAAGCTCCTTCCCACACCTAGGTCGCCCACAGCTAGGTGTGGGTTGCAGCAGCTTACACGTGTGTGTGTCGGTTGATGGACCAACTGATGTCTTGATGGACCAGCCGACTCATGAAATGTGGGCCGAGATCTGGATGTGGCCGCACGACTCGCGATCGTGGCCGCACCGCGCACGCTGTATTATTATTATTACTATTGTTATTTCGAGGTCTCTCGAAAACCCCTAATGCAGCAATGCGCAGCGCATTTGCACGGGTCGGCAAACTGCCAACGCCCCGTCATCACGTATTCATAACATCCGGCAGGCTGCTGGACCGAACCCGTACGTGCCGTACACGGGCTCTGCAGCTGTTGCTTGAGCTGTTGAAGCTCCCAGCTCCATGTGGCCAGCGGCACGGCGGCTCGGGACAGTCCGTGTTGCCGGCGGCACATCCCCGGGCCCCGACGGAGGCAGCAACGGCCCCGCCCCGACCTTCGCGGCTGGCCGCCCTCATCGCGCAGTACTGCCTCCCGGAAGTTTGCGTGCTGCTGGATGCGACGTACGGCTCGCCACTGTACGACGAGGCTAATGCGCAGGTATGTGTGCGGGACGACTCAGGCCTTAGGCAAGCCGCAGACACTTAACACAGGGTCCCTCCCTTGCTAGGTAAGAACCGGAAGGTCAGGAGCACAGCTAGCACAGCTAGCACAGCTAGCACAGCTAGCACAGCTAGCACAGCTAGCACAGCTAGCACAGCTAGCACAGCTAGCACAGCTAGCACAGCTAGCACAGCTAGCACAGCTAGCACAGCTAGCACAGCTAGCACAGCTAGCACAGCTAGCACAGCTAGCACAGCTAGCACAGCTAGCACAGCTAGCACAGCTAGCACAGCTAGCACAGCTAGCACAGCTAGCACAGCTAGCACAGCTAGCACAGCTAGCACAGCTAGCACAGCTAGCACAGCTAGCACAGCTAGCACAGCTAGCACAGCTAGCACAGCTAGCACAGCTAGCACAGCTAGCACAGCTAGCACAGCTAGCACAGCTAGCACAGCTAGCACAGCTAGCACAGCTAGCACAGCTAGCACAGCTAGCACAGCTAGCACAGCTAGCACAGCTAGCACAGCTAGCACAGCTAGCACAGCTAGCACAGCTAGCACAGCTAGCACAGCTAGCACAGCTAGCACAGCTAGCACAGCTAGCACAGCTGGGGCACCTGCAGGCACACCTCCAGGACCGAGTACTGGCGGTACATTCCGCGAGTGGGCGCCTTTCCGTTCCTTCACGAAGGTTCTACTGGTAAAGCCCTGTCCCCAGGGTGGGTGGTTACTTCTACTCGGGCCATCACCATCATTTCCCCATGTCCTAAACCCACCCACAGCGCCCAAAGCGCCTCGAAAAGAGCTGCATACCTCTCGTTTAAGAGCCTCCCAGTCGACCACTCTACGTTGCTGTCGACCCTGCAAGCGAATTTCGCCCAAATAACACACAGATACATGCTTACATGCATATATACACATACCAAGGGTTTGGCACCACTGGTAACGCGCGACCATTGCCCCCGGGAGATCTCGGGATCGATACCCGTTAGGGTCAAAAGTCCTTCCGATGGTGGAAGGCAATTCGCCCCTAGGTGATAGACGGTGATGACCTGGGATAAAGTCAACCTGCGATCCGACCAGGAAAGGAGTTGGGCCGCTGTCTACCCGGCAGTTTCCGTTGGATGCTGGTGGTGGGTGCGGAACCTGAGCGATCCACTGAGAAGTTGACTAGGGTGACTGGATAAGGGTGCCCCGAAATACCGGGGAAGGCAGGGTTTCGCAGGGTAGCTGCCACGGGCGAAGATACACCCCCCTGTTTCACACATCATACACATGCATACCTATACATGCATACATGCCTTTAAAGTTAAAACACATGTCTTACCGGACTGCTGCTTGTCTCGCCCCGCCCAACTTCACTCTCAGCTGTTGCGGCACGTCGTGGAGGCGCTGTGTGCTGCCATGCGACCGGAGGAGCTCCTCTCCAGGATCCTACTGGCTGACACCAGCGGCAGCCGGGGACGTGGAGCAGCCTTGAAGGCCGCGAACGCGGCGGTCGCGGCGGATGCAGCAATATCGGGAGATGTCAACAGCCGCGATGCTAACCCTAGGGCGCCGGCCGCTGGTGCCGTACACGTGAGTCCGCACACACGCCGCATGCTGGCGGCCGGCCTCACGTTGCCCGTTGGTCCCAGCGGCGTGTACAGTGCAGATGTCATAAAGCCGTTGTACGACATTGTCGTACGATGTTTGGGGTCAGCTGGCGGCGGCAGCGGCAGAGGCGGCGCCCATGCGTGTTTTGTGCAGGAGGCAGCGGCCGGTGCCGTCGCAACGGGTTTGGAGCCGCCACAGGTGGATACGGCGCCGGCATGGGGGGATGGTACGACTGGTTTGGGCAATGATGACGATGCGATGGCCGGATGGTGCACGGGCCGGGTGCTTGCGGGCAGCGCTTCACTGCACACCGCGCTTTGGCAACATGCTTTCCGGGAGTTATGTACCCTCCTGGCAGAGTTGGAGGAAGGAGAAGACGGCGGGGAACAGGGTGGCGAAGGTGACGAGGGTGACGAGGGTGAGGATGAGCGGAGGAACGGCGGAGCGGTTAAAGAGGGGATAGATGTTTCCCATGAATGTTCCGGTGCCCGTGGAGAAGAGGAGCCGGCAGAGGAAGAGAGGCCGCGGCGGCATCAGCAGCCGGTTGCTGTCAGGGCAAGTGCGGCGACAGGGCGCATGGCTCGAGCTTCACTGGCGCTGAGAGGTGGGTACAGGCTAGGCAGGTTGCAGGTACCCGTGTGATAGGGAAGAAAAGGGGCCTGGCATCTTACATCTGTGTCCGCTGTTTTGAACGTGGCTGGCGACAAGGTTGGTTGGTCACCTCTCTGTGTGTTGTTGTTACATGGTGGGCGCGGTGAGGTGCGGTGCAGCCCTTGGGTCTTTCTGCTGAAGGGATCTTCGGGAGGGACCTTCCGAAGGGACCTTGGAGGGGCCTTCTGGTTCCACCGCTCCCTTGAGGAGGGGCTAATGTGAGGCGCGAGGGAGGGACACGCCAGACTAGGAACGTTTGCAAACGCCTTTGCGGCTTATTGCAGCGAACATGCATAAACCGGATTGGATTCTGTCATCGTCCCTAATATTTTCATTTGTTGAGGTCGTAACGACCCGTGGGTCGCAAGCTCGTCTTCGGCATTTGCATGTCCGTGCAAGGGGGTTGGTTCCTCGGTGGTGCAATACGGCTACTGCCGCTATTGGGCAGCCATGCCCGCCAGCGCGGAAGTTATCTCCCTTTGCTGGTAAGACCCTCCTCAAGTTGATTTCCCTCCAAGGTCTGGGAGGCAGGAGGCACGCAGCGCTCCGGCGCTTCACGCTCAAACGGGGCCGGTAGGAGCCGCACGATTTCCGCGTCATTAAGCTTGGCCTTTGTCACCTTGGAGTCGTCCCATGTTTGACCCCCCGCCCTCGCCCTCGTGCACTTGCGTCCTGCGCGCAGTTCTGTGCTGCCTTCAACACAACGCGCCGGATGCCGTGGTTGTTGCGTCCGCCACCGCCGCCGCATCGACGGCTTTCGCACATGTCGGTGCCGGGACTGGCGCGGCGGCTCCAGCGGGTAGCCTGCAAGCGGCCGCCGCAGCATCAGCAGCTGTAGCAGCAGCATCAGCAGCAGCAGCAGCAGCTACCAAGGCCAGAGGCGCAGCCCGGTCTGGGGACATTGGTCAGGAAGTGGCGGCAGCGGCCGCAGCTGCAGGGGCGACGGCACCTGCGGACAGGTGTGACCCATGGGACGCGACGGCGAGATGTCGGGCGGAGCTGGCGATTGTGCTCGATGTGCTGGCGGCTGCATTGACAGAGGACTCGTCTAAGGAGGCCCGACGGAAGCAGCAGCAGCAGCAGCAGCAGCAGCACATGCGGCAGCACATGCGGCAGCGGGGTTCCCACAGTGAAAGCTGTGGTGGCCAAGGCCAGGTCGTGGCGTGGAGGGAGCAGGAGGTCCAGCGGGAGAAGGAGCTTGCGGAGCGAAGCGCCTGCATGGTGTTGGCCTTACGGCTGCTGGAGTCGGCGTTTCCCGCGCCAGGACCCAAAGCTATAGCTACCGCGACAGCTGCTACTGCTATCGCCCCTTCGGCTACAGTCGCTACCGCCGCCACGTGTCGGGCCGGCGGCATGCCACTGGGGCCTGCACCGCCTGGCGGCCAGGTGAAAGCGGCGGATGTTGCCAAAACGGTCGCCGGGGGAAAAAATGGTGGCAGCTGTAGCGGCGGCGGCGGTGTAGCGCCTTCGGCCTTGGCTCCCCGCCTGGACCTCGGCCTCAACAATAACTTGGGCAGGACGGTTTTATTCTACTTGGATCGGGCCTTGCCCCAGATTCTGTCGTACGGCAACTTGGACGCCATCGATGCGGCGTACGCGGTGAGTGACCGACGCGTCCAGATGCGCCCCGTGATGGGCGGTGTTGCCTGGCGGGTCATAAGGTGCGAGTTTGGTTTGTCTGTGTTGCTGTGTGTTTGGTTTGTGTGTGTCGCTGTGTGTTTGGTTTGCCTGCTGCTCTAGACGACAGGAGACTGGGGTGAGCGAGTGCGGGGTGACCGTCTTAGGTCTTCCCTGGGGCTCCAATCCCAAGGCGTGAAGGGGGGGTGGGTGCGAGATCGACGATAGATATAATCATGGCCAGGCAGCCGGAGCATATGAGCAGCCGGAGCGGCGTGCGAGCAACGCACAGCTGAAGGGCGGGAACTATAACCGAGACCAGGCCAACGCTGTCACCATGCAGAGCTGTTACCAGGGTCAAACGCACACGATCTTATTTTATCTTCTACGCAATCTGCAACCTGATTTGCGCCATCTCCCCGGACGACCGAGGCGACGTGATGGGGGGACGTGAGCAGCTGATCCTTCGCATTTTGCATGTGGTTCCATTCAAATCCCCCACGACTTCCCCCCACGTACATCCAGACAATCTCCAAAGCTCCTGGCGCCGCGCCAGTCTTCTGCCGGCACCTTCGAGCCGCACAGGTGGCGCTGAGGCAGCAGCAGCAGCAGCGGCGGCAGGAGCGACAACAGCGCTGCATGGATGAAAAAGGAAACGCCACCGGCCGCGACGTAACGGCGACAAGGGCCTCTCAGTCGGCGGCTTCTCGCAGAGATAACGACGTAATACGAGTGGATGGACAGGGACGGGACGGGAGAACTCCCGTAGGGGCGCTGGCTGCCGCGGCGCGCTATCTGCTAGTGCTTACCCACATGACGCGCCTGTACGAGTTCGAGCTAGAGGAGTTCATGGCACGTCTGCAGGAGGCACGCCGCAGCGGCGGCGGCGGCGATGGCAGTGGCGGCATGGCAATCTTGGACCCATCGTCCCTGGACCGCCTCCCCGGCGCAGCTCTCCGCGGTGTTGGCAGCGCCAGCGGACGGGCGGAAGAGGGGGAGGGAGTAGGACAAGGAAAAGGAGATGGTTCGGGAGGGGCGGCTCGGAATGAAAGACGGAAGAACGGTGAAGAGGGACGGAAAACGGAGCGCGAAGCTCGCGGCGAGGGGACCACGGAGCAGGAGGCTGCGGCGGCGGCGGCTGGAAATGATGGTGGTGATGATGATGTTGGTAACGACTACATGCAGGAGACGGAAGAGAACCGAAGCTGTCGGGAAGCGGCGCAGCGGATGTTGGATCGCCTGATGGCGTCCTCGGCGCCCGCGACCCACGTGCATGCGCTGCTGGCATTGCTTCCGACCCGTGGTTCTGTCGGGGTCGGGGTTGGCAGCAAGGCCAAGAGCAGCGACGGGGTTCGAGGGGTCGAGGTGGAGGTGAACGAAGCAGGGGACTTCTGCAGAGCAGATCAGCCACCAGTGGAGCTTCAGGTGAGGATGCTGTCCTTCAATGTTGATGTAGCTGTGTACCTTAAAGAACAGCAGGCGCAGCCTGGCCTGGTTTGCTGCTAAAGGTGCCGCCCGGGGTTCGCGCTGGTCAGACATACTTGCTGCTGCAGCCGCTGTTGTTGCGGAAAGCTTTAGCAGCTACTGCAGCCGCTGCAGCCGCTGCTGCTGCTGCCGGAAGCTGTACAAGAAACAGCAGTAGTTCTCGAAGCGCGCGTGTTTTCTGGCCGTTCGCTTGGACAGAATGGAGCTGAATGTTACGACGGGGCAGAGGGAAATCTGATGATGGCAAAGTCGACTGCCGACGTCCAAAGCACCAAATGGCGAAGTCGACACGAAGCCCACGAGTGCCGTGGCCGCCGGCGGGTTAGCCAGAAGTCGTCCCTCCCCAGCCTTTCGGGTGCTGCTTCCCAGTCGGCCTGCCCCCCCCCTTCCCCGCGGACACAGTCACTCCATGAAGCAGCACAAGCTACTTCACCTCGTTAAGTGTCCTGGAAAGGACTGTGTTTCTTTTCAGGACTATTCTTCCAGCGGCATCGTGCAGGGCGTTGCGGCGCCCGGGGTTTATCCTAGAACCCCCATGTGACTTTATGGAACTTGTGTTTGAAACCTTGGAACATTTTTAAGACAAAGCGCATATGTTCAGGCACGCGTGCTTTCAGCTGAATGAAAGGCGCGAGGGAATAGCGTCCCTGCTTCAGCAGCATCTACAAATATTACTTTTGTTGCGCCGATATTCCGTGCATGGAGTCACACTGGAAATAAAAGAAACCAACTAAAGGAATGTTTCAACATGATGAAACAGCGCAAACTAGCGTGGCGTTGTGAGGGTGAGAATGTTGGTGGGAGGAGTCTGCGTGTGTTAAAAAACATATATAGTACAAAGTGCGGCGCTGCAGGTGCTACCGCCGCCATAACGCAAGTCTGCCACCTTCCCTAATAGTACTAAATGGGCTGTGTAATCGGCCTTTTATTTACTTTTCGTAGTTTGCCAGAAAGTTCAATGTGGGATTGTTATGTGGTGTGAGTTTGGTCGGATCCATCTTTTTATGAACCCACCATCGGTGTGCTCTCCGCTAATAGCTGAAGGGTCTCTATTCATCTTAGACATGACCGTACTTGAACAGGATCTGTTCTATAGGTCATACACCTGTCTGTGTTCTTTAACTCAGACAAGCTTCTCAACCCAGACGAAGAGACAGAGTCCCTGCACCTGAGCGCAACGTAAGGCCGCAGTGGCCGTGCCGCTGGCACGGACGCGCGGCTCTGGATGAACGTCCCTCCGAGCCTCATTCCGCCGGCAGGGATGGTGCCTGGGACATTCAGATGGGTTACGACCTTTTTTATGAAATAAAAGTTTTGGCGTTCGACGTTTTCTCTTGTCTTTTTCGCTCTTCATTTTATTCCTGCTCGCTGCAAAAACTTAATTGTTTCGTATACGTGCGGCACGTAAAGGAGCGCCTGATAATCGTTTGCCCTCGTACAAAGCAATGTAACTCTAGGCGTTTTTATAACCAAGCCGCACCTAAGGCTTGCCCTCCTCCTTCCGCCCCACATCCTACATCTCCCTATCTCTTGGCTAATCCCCGTCTCCCGGTATCTGCTCCCTCTGGCTTCCTTAACCCCAGCCAGCTTCAAGAACTGTAGCCCTGCAGCCCTCCAAGCCAAGCATTCATGAGTCAGCTGCCCCAAATGCGATCCTGACCTCCGAACTACACTGTATATCTGCTCCTTGTCCAGGTCTTGTCGCTTGATCTCCCCCCCTTCCCTCTCCTAAACATCCTCCTCGATCCCATCGCACTCGCCCCCATCCGGACACCACCGCCCCACCTCGTCTGTGGTTCGTCTTCCCGCTCAAGGCCGTACCCCAATCTGAAAATGGAGTGTCGAGCATTGATCACCATAAATGAATGAATGATGCGTATCGAGTTTGCTCTCCAGCCTCTCCAACCCTCCACCCATACTCGCGGCAGGTGCTTGCATTACGCGCTTTGGGCCGCCTGATGGTTCTGTCCGATCGGTTGTCAGTTGAGTACGGCGATGTACTGCGGGACTTGCTGGCCCGGTGGAAGTACAGACCCGCGGCTCTGGTCTGCGAGGCGCTGGCCATCACACATGACCTTGTGCGCCGTAACCCCAGCCACCATCGCCAACTGCTGGGACTCACGGAGGATCTAATTCAAGCCGCGCTACAGAACTGGGCTAGCCTTAAGTGTGGGCATGGATTGGGGTCGGAGCCGCTAGCGGTCGGAGGTGGGTGTGGTGTTGCGGAGCCGCGGGCTGGCGGTGTTGGCGCCACAGGCCGAGCCTCGGGCCCCCGGGAGCAGCTGCAGCCACATGATAAAGTCCGTCCGGCAGGCAACGGCGTGCACGAGCGCGACGAGGATCCTGAGGCGGGTGGAGCACAAGAGGATGCCAATGGCGGAACGGGGGACGACGGGAACGGGGCGCGGAAGGCCCAGGTGGTGAAGCCCCGGGAGGTCCAGCCCCCTCCACCACACCGTCCCCATTGCTGCGGTCGCGAGGCTGTCCTGGCGGCGCTGCTGCCGACGGCGGTGGGCTGCTACTGCCGCTTGCTGGCCACGGGACGGCTGCAGTGGTCTCCGGCGACGTACCGTACACTGGCGATGTGCTTCACCCTGGCTAGGGGCAATCTGCGGGGGCAGGTTCGTGGGGTTCGAGTGGCCGCCGGACGGTTGGTACAGCTTAGGGCATTCAAGTTACAAGTTCCACACAAGTGCGGGAGGGCGTCCGTAAAAGTGGGGGGGGGAAGGGGGGGGGCATGGACGATGACCTATCATTCGGGAGGCTATGTAGAGGTGTTCGCGATTTGCAGAAGCCCCGCCCCGGCAGCTAGGTACGGAGACAGACTGTCTGGGACTTAGGGTCCTGGGTAGGGGCTACGATGTAGGTTACTGTTTGCGGAACCTACATCCGCAAGCAGTGCAGTGCAGCTCTCTAGAACGGCACGGCTGGCCGTGTGGCCTGAAGACCGCTGACGGGGACTCCTGTCGAACCGACAGGTCAATGCGATCTCCAATTAGAAAGCAAAGCTTCCTCCACGACAGCGCAGAGCGCGCCTGAGCGCCGCACCTGACGCCTCCTTTATTGCCCTTGCATTGCAAAACATGGTGCAGGGAAGGATCCTGCAGCAATTTGGTATGAAATGGATGAACTTTGGTCCCCAAGCACACGTACACATGTCATGCTGGCTACCCCCTAGCCTCAGCGCTATCGTCGCAACACAGTGTTATGCGCTTTTGCACTGCGGTCCAACCAAACAGCCTGCTGTTCCCGCGGCCTATTCAGGTAGCCATGCAGGCTGCGGCTCTGCTGCTGCGAAACGCATCCACTTCCTCCGCCTCTGGGCCCGGCAGCCACGGCGGCGGTGGGCCCCAGGCTGGCACGCACCGCCGCATTGCCGTAGCGCTGGCCTTGTTGCGCAATTGCCCCGGCCCGCTGCGGGCACGGCTGGTTTCGGAGGCGCTTCTTCCTGTGTCCGGACTCACCACTGCACCCGCCGCCGCAAGCACTGGCAGCCACGACTTCAGACCTACCAGCTGTGGCGAGCCGCTGCCGCCCCCGTTGCTGCACGCCGAGGACTTTCTAAGCGACGACCTAGCTCTCCCGGTCGTGCAAGCGATTTGCAGCGGCAGCGATGGTGGCGGAGAGGACGCCGGCGGCGGCGCCGTCGCGGGCAACGAGGGCGCAGCGGCACCCTGCGGTGCCGCCGGCGGTGACAGCTCTGGCGGCGTTGGGCCGGGGGACCCAAGCTGCCCTTCCATGGCTGCGTTGCTCCTGCTCCTGCGGGAAATAACCCCATCCGCGAGAACCCTTGCCGTCATGCTGCCGCAGATGCAGGTAGGTAGTGTACCAATATGCGGGTTAATGACGTACACCTTTCTTAAGAGGAGGTTGTACACAGCCACATGGGTGGTGAGGGAAATGGCTCAAGGCCAATAGGCCGTTTTTCTTAGGCATTTCCTGTCGGTTGGAGATTGAGCAATCCAGGAGGAGTGCATTGTTTGCCAGGACTCCGTGCTCCGTAGCATAGTGCTCCGTAGGCGTGCTTGCTAAAGGTTTTAGCAATTACTTCAGGAACAGAGACCCGTTCCTTTTTCGCGATCGCGCATCTTTTTCTCTCGTCCTTCCAACTTAAAGGCGTCTCGTCTCACATGGCCATGCACCCGCTGGGCGTCCTAAGTTGGGTTGGGGTGGGGGGGTTGAGGTGAGGTAACCGCACCTGGGGGGTGCGATGGGCATTGTGGCCTGTACTCCTTCTTGCCGAGGTGAAAGGGCCCAATGATGTTGCGATCCGAACGGCGACTGCAGGCTGTCTTGCGTGACCCATGGGTCCTGGAGAGCTTCACACCGGGCGCTGTACAGGTGCTCCGTGACATGGTGCTGCGCTACAAGGCGACTTCGGGAGCGGGCACCGCAGCGGCAGCTGACGGAGGTGACGGGATGTTGCAGGCAGCGGGCGGCGGCAGCGGCAGTGGCGGCGGCACAGAGCTGAATGTCGTCTCCGGGTGCAACGGACAGCATGGTGCTGTACCTGCACCCGCAGCGGAGGGAGGTGCGGCTGTTGTGGTGGCAGCGGCGGCGGCGCGAGGGGGAGGCGACGGAGTCACCGCGCAGCGGAGGCTAGTGGAACTGCTCACACAGATTGAGGGCCGGGTTGGACTGGCCGGCTGCTCCAAACGGCAGGTAGGGGCAGATGACTCAAGCCCCCGCTCATTGCTCACACCCACCGCTGCCGCCTGGCCTGGTGCAGTTCTTGCGTCTCTTTGATTGTTCCGGGTTGGAAGTCCCGAGCACCTTCCGTGAAGGCCTTCCGGTTCAGGGGGCCTGCGGCGCGTCCTCGATATTCTGCGCCAACGTTGAGCGAGCTCTACCATACACAAGCCCCTTGCACTCCATCCTCCTCTATGCATATGCCCCCTGCCCAGCACCTTGCTCGTGTCGTGGCCCTCCCTGGATACCTCTGCCCAATCCGCGGGGCATGGACACGATGGACACAATGCCCGCCGCGAAACTCCCCATAAACCTTACGCGCTGTAGTGGATATGTTGGCGGTGCGTTCCGTCTCAATAAAGCTACAAGGCGTGTTCAGGGCTTTGTGACTACCACTGTGATGGAGATGATTGACCAATTGGCCTCCCGGCTGTTTGGTTGGGCTTGTTGCAGAGGACCAAGCGAGCTGCTGTCGCTGTGGGCCCCGAAACCGAAATCTTGTTCGGGCTGAGCGACGACAGCGTGCGCCGGTACGAGCGCGCAGTGCTGGCCTTCACCAATAGCCACCCGCCAGGGGCGAGGCGCATCCACCACAGAGGAGGTACGGAAGGCCAGGAGGGATGCGCGGCGCCAGCAGCGGTGACTGTGGCCGCAGCTCCAAAGCCAGCCACAGTCGTTCGGAAGCCAAGCGTCCGGCTTGTACCCCCTTCCACAGCACAGGCCAGTGCGATAAAGGCTGAGCCCCACAGGCGCTCTGCTCGCAGTAGCAATGCGGGATCAAACGCTAAACCTGTTGCTGCCACTGCTACAGGTACTAAGCGACGGAAGGCAGGATAATGGGTCGACTAAGTCGACTATAGTTCAGAGACTGCTGGCAGTGCGGTAGACCTCAGTATAAGGATGCGAGTTCGGAGTGATGTCACGATTCGGACATGGATGGACGGGGCGGTCATACATGCATGCGTCGGTCAATCATACATGCATTTGCATTGAGCGAGGGGCCGCTGATTAATTAGGCCAGATTGGGGATTTTTTCGCATGGAGGTTGGATGAGGCTTTGAAGACGGTGCAACCACCTAAAGGAGTGTTGCAGACATAATGACACAGCGCAAACTAACGTAACGATGTGGGGATGAGAATGTTGGTGGGAGTAGTCTGCGTGTGATAAAACATATTTGCTTGTAAGGAGAGGGCGGAAAAATAAAGTATGATGTACGGCGCTGGAGGTGCTACCGCCGCCATGTAATGGTGGCAAGTCTGCCTCCTTCCCGAATAGCACTAACAGGGCTGGGTAATCGGCCTTTTCTTTACATTTCGTAGTTCAGCAGAAAGTTCAATGTGGGATTGTTAGATGGTGTGAAGTTTGGTCGGATTTATCGTTCAATGGACCCACCATCGGTTTGCCCTCCGGTAACAGGTCAAGGGTCTCTGTCCATCATGGACATGACCGTACTTGAACAGGATCTGTTCTATAGGTCATACACCTGTCTGTGTTCTTTAACTCAGACAAGCTCCTCAACCCAGACGAAGAGACAGAGTCCCTACACCTGAGCGCAACGTAAGGTCGCAGTGGCCGTGCCGCTGGCACGGACGCGCGGCTCTGGATGAACGTCCCTCCGAGCCACATTCCGCCGGCAGGGATGGTGCCTGGGACATTCAGATGGGTTAAATCTGACTTTTTTCACGTTCTTTTCTCAATGTTCACAGTAGCTTTATATCCTACAAGGAAGGTGTGTCATTCTCACTGATCATATCCTAGGACGTGTCTCTCGCTCATACGCTCACACAAAGAAGTGTCCGGTAGTCTGCGGCTATCTCGGAGTCACGCTCCGAGGTTCCCATCAACAACCCGTCGTCATTACAATAACCATCCTATCTTCCTGCCAGGACACAATTAACAACATCAACATGTACCACTTGCCAGAACTCAATTCATCCGCGGCTTCCCTTGGCATATCCCGTGTCGTACACAACAGATCTTCCAATACCCCACAGTCTTCATCATTAGCAATCCAGTCAGTCAGTTCCTGTTTGCCGTGGTCACAACTTGGAACCTTTTGGTTCGTTGAGACGAGCCGCTAATTGCTTTTTCAAGCAGCGGATGTGTGTGTGTGTGTTACATGGTTGGGGGGTGCGTGACCCCATACCTGTAAATCTACCCATACGAGCCGAAGGCCCAAGGGCAATACTACAACGCCTAAAAGCCACGGAGAAAAGGAAACACCGCACATCAGCCCAGACTAGCGTCCAAAAGTGGTAATTGAGTTTCGGTGAGCCCACATACGTTCTGGTCTGGGTTGACACTACTGCAATTAGCGGTTTAAGGTCCTGGGTTCGATTCCTGGGGAGACCCCCGAATTAGTCGGGAGCGCGAGATTATGGCTAGCTGCTGAGATGTGGAGTTGAGGTCACAGTTGATGGACCAGATTCGCACGCTAGATTGGTGGCGATTGCCGAACCCTCCGTCTCTTCGGGTGTTCGGGTGAATGGATGAGGAGGGGTCCCTGAAGGCTGGATCCGCCGCCTTGGACTAACAGTTCGTATGGCGAAGTACAGTGTGGTAGTGGTGGATGGTGCTATAAGGTGATAAATGATCTAGAACTGACAATGTGATAAAGCGGCCCAGAAGCCTCCCACTCTGTAACATTACATTACATTACATACGTTCCAACATCCTCGCAAGACGTGCGGGTTCCCATTTCATGGCCTCCAACAAGCTCTGTTGATGATCGAATCCTACTTCAGCACGAATATCATTATAGGCTGGGCATTCCAATAACACGTGTTTTTCATCCTCGATTCGGCTATTAGTACCACAACAGCGGCAAAACCGCTGCCCCCTGGGGACATGGTACTTGCCCCTTCGTGCTCTGTTTGCCTCCAAAGCCCAGCAACATAAACGAAACTGCATTAGCTTACGATGTGCTAAACGAGAAATGAAAACCTTAGCATGTGTTGGCCACATGACGGCTGCGGCTCCCGAAAAGGGCAGCCCCATCCAGTGCTTATACTTCGCCATTTGCACTCCCGGTTGCTTCCCATCTGATGGGTACTCCTCTGGCAAGACAGTCAGACGCGTATGGTCCCAGCCGCTCATCAAACGCTCTCTTAGTGCCGTTATTATCGCTCCTTCTGGTAGAGGTCTACTCAACAACCAGTCAACACGCTCCTTTACCCCCACGACTTCTTGCGGTATTCCGCTCCAAATATTACACTTTCCAAGAAGGAAAACAGTCGTAACATTGAGATTCCCCAACCCTCCCATTCCAGGTTGGTCAGGACATCGGTTATCTCCTGCCGTAAAACTGCATGAGCAATGGACCCCACTTGTTTTTGAAGGCGGTTCCCGAAACGGAGGATCTGTTTCACCATGTAATACTGTAAGGGGAGTTCAGCCAGCTCCGCATACAACAGTCTGTGGGATGGCGGTGCCGCCCCCGCTACCTGCCTCATGAATAAAATCTGCAGCTGGACTGCACTACCCTTCAACAGGCTTCGAACATGCCCTCCGCAAGGTTGGCTTTATCCCGCCGCCTTCCCGCCCTGTCCACGACCTCTGCCAGCGGATGTAACACACACAATAAAGTAACCATGAACATGCCTCGGAGGGTTAATTTGCCCCTGCCCATGCACCCGAATTTCCATACCACGTGCCTCCGCCTTTTGCTCTTGCATCATTTCGGAGACTGGGAGCCTGAGAACCTGTGTGCCTGGGAGACTTGGATACTGGCAGCATGGCAGTGGAGGCATGGAAGCCTGGGAGCCTGGGATTCCAATAGCCTATGTGCCTGGGAGCCTGGGAACCCAGTCTTTAACGCAACTTATGGCTTGGTTGGCCTGTCCGCCATTCGCTGTGTTGCACAGACAGGCTGGCAGGCGGAATGCAGTACAAGGGCGTAACCTGGTGGGGTGTGTGGTGCCGTGTTGGGTCGAGGGGACGTGTGCATGCTGTGAACCAACTAAAAGAACGTTGCAGACATAATGACACAGCGCAAACTAACGTAACGATGTGGGGATGAGAATGTTGGTGGGAGGAGTCCGCGTGTGTTAAAGCACGTATGCTTGTAAGGAGGGGGCGGAAAATAGAATACGATGTACGGTGCTGCTGCTATTTCCTTGCAATGGTGACAAGTCTGCCACCTTCCCTAATAGTACTAACTGGGCTGGGTAATCGGCCTTTTCTTTACATTTCGTAGTTAGCCAGAAAGTTCAATGTGGGATTGTTATGTGGTGTGAAGTTTGGTCGGATCTATCGTTCAATGGACCCACCATCGGTTTCCTCTCCGCTAATAGGTCAAGGGTCTCTGTCCCTTTTAGACATGACCGTACTTGAACAGGATCTGTTCTATAGGTCATACACCTGTCTGTGTTCTTTAACTCAGACAAGCTCCTCAACCCAGACGAAGAGACGGAGTCCCTGCACCTGAGCGCAACGTAAGGCCGCAGTGGCCGTGCCGCTGGCACGGACGCGCGGCTCTGGATGAACGTCCCTCCGAGCCTCATTCCGCCGGCAGGGATGGTGCCTGGGACATTCAGATGGATTAGATTTTACTTTTCTTCTTGACCTTTTCTGCATGTTCACAATAGTTCTCTAAAGTTGTACAAGGTGTGTCATTCTCACTGATCATATCCTAGGACGTGTCTCTCGCTCATACGCTCACACAAAGAAGTGTCCGGTAGTCTGCGGCTATCTGCGCTTCCTTCCTACAGAAGTATGTTTCATGGGGCCCCAGTTCCCCAGGCCCCACGCCAAGAATTGCACTTCATCCTCCCTGCCCTGCATCTTGCTCGTGTCGTGGATCTGGATCTCTGCCCCAATCCGCGGGGCATGAACACGATGTACACAATGCCCGCCGTAGTCTCTCCCCACAAGCCCCAACCACGTACGTGCCAGGGCATACTTGAGTACTTGCCGCCGCGGGATTTACTCTTAACTGCTGTGCCTGGAGCCATACATACACGTATCTTATTTGGATGATGCTTGAACTCCCGCTTCCCCACAGCAGCAAGACCAGGGTGGAATTCAGTTTCCCTTCCCTTCTAATAGCCAGCTTGCTTAGACTCCATCAGCGTCGTCGGTCATAAGCGGCCAGGTAGGGATTCCTGGGGCAGAGGGTGCTCTGGCGGGATCCTGGGGAACTACCGCGAAGCTCTTTTCCATCTATTGGGCTCTCTATCTCCTCTCCACTCTCTAAAGGTCTCGAAAAGAGGGCGCTAGCAGTACGAGGTGGCCTACTGCCCGAGGTTTCCCCAGCACTAGCAGCCAACTGCGCTTCCAGCAAGCATGTTATGATCACTCCGTTAATTACGGTAATGGCTAACATATCCTTATTACTATTACTTGTGACTCATAGGCGGAACAACTCCTGCCGTACTATCGTACGTCGTACCCCAACAAGGATATATCCTTACTTTGGTTAGTTCCGTCTAGGCGGACATTTGGTGGCTAGTTGGTTCTTGACAACCATTCACCCCCCTCCATCACCCCCCTCCATCACCCCCCTCCATCACCCCCCTCCATCACCCCCCCTCCAATCATCCATCGCCGTGCTGCAGGGAACGAAACCCGACCGACCCAGCCGCACGACCCGGCCCACGGAGTAGCGGACGAAAATCAGCAATCGTCCAAGTTGGAGGTGGACCCCCACCAGCTCCTCAACCATCCTTGCCCCTCCCGGCCTCCCCTTCCATGCGTTCCCACTACCTCTCTTGCAGTGTTTTTTTTTTCGTTTTGGGCCTAGTACCCTAGAGTAATAAACTGGGTGTTTCTCGCAGTTACTATTCCTATTTGTATAGTCGCTGGAA